GTGAGTGAAAAGTAAATGTGTATATCTTTATCTCTCAATCATCGGGAGATCAACTAGTTATAGGCCGGCAGAGGAGGGAAGTCCCGTTTCCGAAGAAGTTCAGAGACATAAGCTATGGCCTCCGCGATCGCACGTTTCTGCTCAGGCGAGTATGGGTCGACCTGCAGGGAGAGGGGAGAGCGATATGAATAAAAGACGTGGTTAAAAAGAGAAGATATAAATCATATACACTGGGTGATCAGAAAGTAATGACAGTTTTGCTCTTGCCTTTTGCCTTCTTCTGTCTCGTTTTATGGTGCGATTGTACTAGTCTTTATTTTGCTTTGTGACTGGAAACAATGCATATCTCGAAGGAAAGTTGACTGTTCGGCTTTCAATCGATGGAAACTGAGCAAGAAGGCGACTAAGAGCGAGGGGAACTGTTGCAAGTGTACCCAGACTCTTCTCTATCACTGGAGGTCATTTCCCGTCGGATTTGCCCCTTCGCTTCGGGCAACACTGAGCCGCCAGATGGTTGATACTCTGGGCGTCCGAGGATGTCCAGGACTGAAGAGAAAACGGCCTATGTGCAGTTCATCGCATGGGAGGATCCACCCATTACTTTTTGGTTCTTGTCCTTAGAGCAAGGAAAGTTAGACCTGTGGAAATGTGCCTGGTGGATCCTAAATTTGCCGATGATTAAGCAGAAGACTGAATGGGTGCGGGTGTGTTGGCTCCGGCTAGGTGAATTTGAGCTAAATGGACTGTAAAACGCATACTGGCCGTCGCTATGGGAGACAAGTGTTGGTTAACCTTCTTCTCCCGGGACCAGCAGCCCAGCATGGCGTGGATGGTCAATAGTCACCCCGCCCTAGATTTCAGGGAAAAAGAACTCACAATACGATATGACTCCTCATCTCTAGTTCCCAAGAAGCAATCTAGCAAATAAGTGATACCACGATAATTCGCTATCAGCCTAGTACCAAATAGGACAGGAATACTAGACCAAGTATTTACCCATCGGCGCGCAGTCATGTCTTCCCTCTGAGCACAACCAGGAACGACAACGTATCACCTTTTCCCCCATTCACCCCACTCATCTGGCACTGCCCCTTGCGCTATTGGGTTATTTCCTAAGACGAAGGATGTGATGGCTGGGAAACAAGACTCCACACCCAAGACTTGGCGCGAGCAGTGACTTCAAAACTTCAGGCCATTTAATTTTCAGTGTCATTAATTTTTGATCACCCCTCTTGCACAGATGGCAAAATTAGATTACATAATTTATGTAATCCAATGAAATTGATGTTTAAAATGGCGACCTGTCTCTGCAGTCCCAAGCCTGGCCCTTGCAGGTGGTTCTGGAGACAAGCCAGGCGAGCCTCATCCGCCGGGACGCCCAGGAACGCGAGCGTCCTCCGCACCTGCGCCATCGGGTCCTCCCTCAGCTCCTCGTACGGGATCACCAGAATCCGACGGGAATACAGCAGGCGGTCCTTGGCCAGCTGTGAAAAACAGATTAAATATGTGCATCGTAATTCTACTGTTATTTGATTAAGATCTAGTCACAATGTCCTAAATATGCCAAGAGCGCATATAATTTATTCAAAAACAGTGCTAGTGTCTGCTTTCTAAATATACCCTTGGACTAATTCAAGAAAATATCTAACATTATCGTACAAACGGCGAAAAGTGTCAATATGCCAACCAATCAGGTCCTTAGTCGTAGAAGTAAGATAAATGAGCAACTGATATTATGATATAAATGATATAATATCTCCAATTATCAATCAGAATATTCGTTATAAATGTAAATAATTTTCATTAGTCATACTGCTAATGATATAAATTTACCTGGTTCTATCACTTAATTAGTATCATTATCATTACTGCGCTATGTTCCCGGTTAGGTGGCAGTGACGTAAATATTCCTTTGGTATGAATGATGATAAACTTCCTCGAGAGCCTAACGAAGCCCTTAGTCTGCCTTGGCCACGTTGGAAACCCTAGATCCCAGAGGACAAGAGTGAAAACTGGAATGGCTCTGGACCATGTAAACGGGAGAAGATGTGGCCTCAATCGTCGTGGGAAATCTTAATTGGTAAACGCAGATTTGTATATTATATAAGACAAAGTTTCTTGTGGCGAGGTCTATTGGTGGTGTACCAGCGTGTATCTTGATACATCTAGTATAGAGGCAGGTTTGTCGATGTGATTCATTCAGCTCCCTAGAATCTGTACTAAAATATCATCAGCTGAGACTGATTTTATCGTCTTCTCGTAAGTGTTGGATATTGTCTTACCCCAAGACTTAGTGAGGCATTCTGAGAAGAAATCTGTAGAGTAATTTGGTGAAAAGTGGAAATATACAGAAAAAAGGCTGATGGCGAGGAACCCAATTCAGCTCTTCTCTTGATTTCTGAAATGCTTTTCCTTATGGAGATGGTATGATGGCCACCTCTATGCTGCGTTCCAATAACCAAGGTCCTGGCACGGTACCAACTAACCAACTAAGGAAAATGGACTTCCTGCTGACACGTGTGCATTTAATTTCTTGTGAATTCCGCCACCGCTCCCTCCATACCCAAATGCTCATGGCCCTGTACCTATGGCCCTTGATTCTTCCTCATCACACATTTAGTCTAACTGTGGTAAATTAAGTTCTGTAACTTACAACGGATTCACGTTGTCCCTAAAGAAAGCCATATGCAGGGATGCCCTCTAACGGATAGGAAATTTCCATCCATCAATTTTCTCAAGAGCAAAGCCACTATATATTGTTAAAGAGATAGAGTTCTTGGAACTAAAAATTCGACCCAAGGATTGTAAAGGTGTTTTGCTTCAAACAGCTGAAGAAAAAAATTGGAGCAGACTAAATTAGTGTTTATTTACAGGAAAGCTGATTTTTGATAACTTCTCACTTTTTGCTCTTATGATGTAAATGATTTATCCTGTTATTCTACCTTTTTTCACACGGAAACTATTCTGCTAAATCTATTACATGGACATTGAATCATACCAGTTAATATTTTTTGCTTTAATTTTAACTTCCAGTATTACTTTAGATAGAGAATGCTCATAAGTTCTTTACGCTGACGGAAACTCCTCAAGATAATACTGGTATTTTTTTCTTTTCTTTTTTTTACGAAATTCGGAAGGGTGCCCTACTAACGAAGCTGTGCAATAATAACCAATAATGATTGTTGCATACTTCTTTCTTCTGCTAGACTCCTAGCCAATCGGAAGCCATCCAGAACGCGTCCTGCAGAAAAGTTCCTAGTTACTAACAAGTGATTTCAACGGACGTGTAAAAAGGCACATGGGCTGTATAAATGCCGCTAAAAGGAAATAAAATAAAATACAGACGAGAACAGTTCATTTCTCAGGAAACAAATAGGTACCGCTAATTTTTTACAATACAAAGGAAACGTCATTCCAAAGTAGTTAATTAGGTATACTTCCGGGTACTTGTGTTCGAGATCTGAAGACAGAACAGTGTATATTTTGGCCTGAGTGATTTCGCTTTGCCAAAGGCTGATTAAAAAAAAAAAAAAAAAAAAAAAAAAAAAAAAAAAAAAAAAAAAAATGATGGACGTAATCAGACTAATGATAATTGGAATAGTGATTACGGAATAATGATGGTGATATGCTAATTTTAAAGATGTGACGGGGATGATGATAGGGATAACGATGGTGACGGTAATGTAGTGTTGATAGCAATGATGCAATAATGATGGTGATGATATGATGATGATGACGGTGGTGTAATGATGATGGTGCTGGTAATGCTGCTATGATGATGATAATGTAATGATGTTGATAGTGACGACGTAATGATGGTGACAATGATAGGGTAATCTTACAAATGTGATAGGGATGATGGTGATGATAGCGATAATAGTGATGATGATGTAGTGATGACAATAATGATGATGTCATGGTGATGATGGTGACGGCGATAATGTAATGAAGTTGACAGTGACTACGTAGTGATGGTGACAGTGATGGTGATGATGATGGTGACAGTGATGAGGTAAGGTGATGGTGAAAGTGATGATGTAAGGTGATGGTGACAGGTATGATGTAATGGTGCTAATGATATTCCTTTTCCCATTGGTTCTTGAATAGGCCTTTATCGAACAGGTGTAAGGCAAATGTCTTTCCCTTCTGCACTAAATTGCCTATCGCGTTATCAAGGGGATGCTAATTTTGTTGCTTGTTAGTTTCATTACGAACTGAATTAACAGATAAACTTTATGGAGATCAGTGTATCTATATGCATATTAAGAAGCATATTTAAATCCATGAGCATAATCTGGTTCGGGCACAGTTACATTACCTAGGTTTGTCTGTTTTATTTTCTCTCTTTAATACTAGGACACCCCCCCCCCCCTTCAGATATACTTCCCTTGAGCAATTTGCATAATATTGAAAAATCTAAGAGGACCGAACGTGTAATCTTCTCAAGCTGTTAAGTGTTTTATATTTCCTGAGCTGTTTGAACTCACTCTCTCTCTCTCTCTCTCTCTCTCTTTCTATCTTTCTCTCTCTCTCTCTCTCTTCCTCTCTCGCTCTCTCCCTCATTCACTCCCTCACTCTATCTCTCTCGCTCTCTCTCTCATTCACTCACTCTCTCTCTCATTCACTCTTTCTCTCTCATTCATTCACTCTTTCACTCTCTCTCTCTTTCTCTCTCCCTCTATCTCTATCTCTCTCTCTCATTCACTCTCTCTCTCTCATTCACTCTTTCTCTCTCATTCATTCACTCTCTCACTCTCTCTCTCATTCACTCTTTCTCTCACATTCATTCACTCTCTCACTCTCTCTCTTTCTCATTCACTCTCTCTCTCTCTCATTCTCTCTCTCTCTCTCTCTCTCTCTCTCTCTCTCTCTCTCTCTCTCTCTCCCTCTCCCTCCCTCCCTCTCTCTCTCTCTCGCTCGTTCGTTCGCTTGATCTCTCTCATTCACTCTCTCTCTTTTATTCACTCTTTCTCTCTCATTCATTCACTCTCTCACTCTCT